TGTGTGTGTGTGTGTGTGTGTGTGTGTGTGTGTGTGTGTGTGTGTGTGTGTGTGTTTGAAGGTCCTCTCATATTTCCTGACTTATGAGGACTTAATGTGGAAAATTGTCATTACAAGAAGCTCAGCTTTAAAACAGCAGGAGGAATTTGAATTGTGATAGAAACTGCTAACATATGCAAGAAATATATAATACTTTGGTTAAGTTAGACATGTAGTGGTTGAGGTTTAATCAGTTAATACTTGGTAAAATAACAGTTTTGAACATAAAAACCCCAAATCATTAACTGAATGATAGTAATAGCAACTAATCTATGGACAATCCCCAAGCTTGTTTTCAAGTTTAACACACGCACACACCCCCACACCCACACACACACGTAAACCTGTGAAACAGAACTAGTTAGTTCAGTTGCTGAAATCAGACATCCATGAATGTTCTTGACTGCAGGGAGGGTTGGTGCCTATCACAGCTCTCACTGGGGTACACCCTGGACAGGTTGCCAGAGCTATCACAGGGCTAACACAGAGAGACACAATCACTGATGCTCCCATTCACACCTATGGCCAGTTTATAATCACAGATCAATCTAACAAGCATTTGTTTGAAGTGTAGGAAGAAGCAGAAACTAACTGGGGAGAATCCATGCAAGGCACAAGGAGAATGTGCAAACTCCACGGCTCATATGGAAAAGGCTTTCCAGACAAATGATTGTTTAACAATCAATAGTCAGGGAATAACTCAAAGTACAACTAAACAGGGCTGCTGCATTGACGTCGTCCTATCATGATGCTATAAATACTGTAATGTACAATCTAGTTGTGGAATACAGATGGCGAGCGCTGTAGACTTCGCATGTAGGTTATCAGCGGATATCAGTGAACTTTTTGTGACAGTTCCATGGACTGTGAATAAAGCCAGACACTAGGGATGGCATTCAAGAAAGAAACCCAGGTTCTCTGGCACAAAACCAAAGGATTAATGTTTTCTAAGAAATAAAAAGAAGCCTGATGGGTACTGAGAATACACTGGGAGCACACTGAGACCAAGATACACTTGTCCAGGATTTTTGGCATAAATTTGGTCAGGACTACAATAGTGAAAAACAGTCACAATAGTGAGGCACAGCGGTAGGTTTGCAATGACATGGGCTGCTTGAGTGCAAAAGGTGTTGGGTAGATGACATTTATAGATGGCGGCGTGAATGTCTGTGGATATAACAAAATACTATCTGACAAGATGGTTTCCAGTCTCCACAATTCTGGCAGAAGAAGAATGTTCCAGCAAGATAACGATTCAAAACACACTGACACAGTCAGAGAAGACTGAAGGTAAGAATTCTAACCTGGAAAAATATCTCGCCTGGCTTGAATCCAATCAAACACCTTTGAGGTATTTTTAAGTGAAACCAAGAGCAACACACACCCAAGATCTCTGAAAAGTAGCGAGATCTCTCCAGAAAAAAAATATTGACTCAGTCAACAGAATAAAGGACGTGAGATGTTGAAACAAATTATATATTCAAATCTTATTGACAGATGAAATGAAATCATGTCATTTTTTTTAAGTATATCTAAACTATAAATTTTTCATTTTACACAAGAATACACACTCTAGAAATGAACTTGCAAGTGTTAAAGTTACACTGTGACAGGTGATACAAGTTTCAAAATTTGATATTTTGGTGATAATGCACTGGGGTGTACTCACATCTGTTGTGTATTCTAACTATAAATACAAATTACCCGTGACAGATATGGGATAGCTGTGTGTTTAGGGTACATGTACATTTACATGAACATTTACAATTTCAGCCACAGGACAATTTCATCACCCATTACATCCTGAAATAGCAGTTAAGGGACAGGTTAGAGTTAAGCATTGAGTTGGGGTGGTTATTATTAGGGGATAACTAAGGCTACGTTCACACTGCAGGTCTTGATGCTCAATTCCGATTTTTTGATCAAATCTGATTTTTTTGTCTGCGTGTTCACACTAAAAATAAAATGCGACAGCAAACACGCTCTAGTGTGAACGCTCAAAGCGGCTCGCATGCGCAAAAGAAGACGTCACATACAAGGCGCTCTGTTTGGACCCAGAGCAAACAGTATTGTTTGACTGATGGCCCTTAATATAAAGACTTTGGACTTCACGTTTCCCAATTTTTGCTTTAAGTTATTTTGTTATTTACATAATAATGTAGATAAACTAATAATTATTCTTATTGCTTATTGTTTTAGAGAGGAGCGGTGCTTCAAAGGATAGTTGCAGATTTCTGTCAGAATCTGCAGATTATACAGTACAAATAAAATGTTCACGTTTCTCCAACGTTGTCTTCCCAACAGTTTCACTGACATCTACACTGGATGGCCAGGAAGCGTTCGCGATGTCTTATCGGGCGCTTCTCCGGCGCTGATAATTGGCATCTGTCTTGTGTCAGTGACGTAAAAGATGGATTTAATGCGACATGACCGTTCAAACAGCAGTCGCTTTCTAAAACATCGGATATGTATCGGATTCAGGACCACATACGAAAGTGACCCAGATCGGATTTGAAAATATCAGATTTGTGCCGTTCACACTGTCATACCATGATCGGATATGGGTGGCATAGGGTCAAAAAAAATCGGATTTGATGCACTTTCGCCTGCAGTGTGAACGTAGCCTAAGGTGGTTAGGATCTTCAATAGCACAAGTACACAAGTGTGACTTTGTGTGTATGTCAGGTTAGAGTTGAGTTTTACCTGTTCCTTTGTTGCGGTCCACAAAGCAGTACTTCAGTTCATATTCTTTCAGAATTTCATGGACTTCCTATAAAAAAAGTAAGGGACAATTTGGTCAAACAGAATGGTAGAAGTCATTAATGTAAAAAGAATAGAGAAAAAAACTACAAAACTCTTGATTATACAATAATCAAAGTAGTATCAGTAAACCACAATGATCTTAAAAAACTGTTTTGGAAAAATATCAGAATAAATGCAAACACAATGAAAGACTTAAGCAGCGAATATACAAGGGAAAGAAGGTTCTATCTTAAATGGAAAAGTAAGCTATTACATTCCAATACACAAACTGTGAGAGAAACCTTTGCATTATTAGCTTGTGACAGATGCTCATCATCTTTCTCTACTCTAGTCTAGTAACAGCTATTGACTCAGATAAAGGTAAATTTTTGTCATATATAATTATATAGTCTAATGTCATAATTGATACAGGGCTCAATGTTAACACAAGTTAGTTTTACCAACAACTGAAATAAACTGAAACCCCAATAAAAAAATCTCCTTTACGCCACAAATGAAGATTTATTCTTTGCATAAGCAGAAGTAAAGCTTTTTTCATTTAATGTTGTGCTTTTCTGGTGAAATTGAAAGAATGGACACTGCACAAGAAAGCAAAAGCAAAGCTTTGAACAAAGTTGTGGGGATAATGGTACAAAACAACTAAAAATAACGCAAATTTTCAAAATAACTAAGAGCTCAGACAGCACTTACACCCTTTAAAAAACCCTGATAATGTCAGCATGATTACTTGAAACTCACTTTTCAATCGAACAAACTTCTCTGCAAAAATGTCTTTGATGGGAAGTTTCCATATTTGCACTGATTTGTTTTTTTAAACAGGTAATTGTTGTTTTTTGTGTTGTTCAAATGAATAATACTAATACTGTGCTTGACATTCTTCCATCTCGCATAGCTAAGGACTGTTTTGATGTAAATGGACCTAGTATCCTATTTCTTATGAACTTTTCCTTGCTCTCAGGCTGTGTTCCTTTCACTTTTAAGCATGCTGTAGTCCACCCGATTCTTAAAAAAAGAAACTGACTGTTATGACCTTTCAAACTACAGACCGATCTCTAAGCTTTCGTTCTTGTCCAAGATCCTGGAGAGACTAGTTCTCTCCCAGCTCCAGGTGTACTTGGACACAAACAATATTGCTGAGAAATTTCAATCTGCTGTTAAGCCATTGCATAGCACTGAAACAGCATTGGTTAGAGTTCTTAATGATATTCTTGTAATCACTACTACTGGACGCTCTATGGTCCTAGTTTTACTGGACCTCTCTTCAGCTTTTGATATGGTGGACCATAACATTTTATTATTAAGACTTGAGCACACTGTGGGTATTAGAGGCACTGCCCTCGACTGGTTTAAATCATATCTCGCTGATAGATCCTTCTCAGTTAACTTGGGCACCTTCTCCTCTTCCTCCGCTCCGGTCTGTTGTGGTGTGCCTCAAGGACCAGTTTTAGGCCCTATTCTCTTCTCATTGTATTTGCTCCCTCTAGGCGCAATCTTTGAAAAATACAATATCGCCTTCCACTGTTACGCCGATGACATACAGATCTATTTTGAACTTACTGACGACCTTGCTGTGTCCCTGCACTACTTTCAAGAATGCATGCGGGAGGTCAAAGAATGGTTCCTGAGTAATTCTCTTGTTTTAAATGATAAGAAGACTGAGATTGTGGTTTTTAACAGTAAAATCCCTCATGCCCAACTCTGTGCTGCTCTGGGTTCCTTTGCTAGCTCTTCCTGTGGCTATGTCAGTAACTTGGGTGTACTGCTGGATAGCTCGCTCAAACTCGATAAGCAAGTGTCTGCTGTAGTGATATCTAGCTTCCCCCAACTGCGCCTTATCTCTAAGGCTAGGCATTATGTTCCGCATGAGGACCTGGAGAAGCTTATTCACGCTTTTGTGACCTCCAGGTTGGATTATTGTAACTCCTTGTACTACGGTCTTCCCTCTTCTCTTCTTCTTAGACTGCAAACAGTCCAAAATACAGCAGCCCGCCTCTTTACTGGTACCAGGAAATTTTGCCCTATTACTGCTGTTCTAGCTAGCTTGCATTGACTTCCCATAAAGTAACATATTCAATTTAAAATATTACTCCTACATTCAAAACTATTATTAAATCAGCGCCGAGTTATCTTAGTGAACTTCTCAAACCACATACTCCTGCTAGAACACTTAGATCTGCCACTCAACTACTTCTGACCCAACCTAGGTCTCAGCTGACGTCCCGGGGTGACCTTGCGTTTGCTCTGGCTGCCCCGGTACTGTGGAATAACCTTCCTCTCGACATCCGCGCATCTGATTCCATTGCACTGTTCAAATCACGACTAAAAACCCACTTATTCAATCTTGCCTTTCCTTCTAGTTAATATTTCTTTTATGATTTTATATCATGCACTTTTATGCTCATTTAATTTCTTCTTTCTGCTGTACCTGTTGCTTTCCTATGTATCAGTGACAGCTACCTGCTTGAATACCTAGTAGTTGCTTTCATCCTATTTCTATTATCTTCCTTTTATTCTCTATGTTACTTGTTAAGCGCCTTGGAATACCCTTGGTTTTTAAGTGTGCTTTATAAATAAAGTTTATTATTATTATTATTTTTGGGAGTGTATTCTTAAAAAAGAAATGATTCTATCTGGTGTTGGGCTAATACAAAGATCAGCACTCTATCCAACTACACAAGGGGCACAAACTAATACTAAAGTACAAAAGCAGATTCCACTCTCCAGCAAAATGTGTTATTTGTCTTTTTAGTGCTAGGATGTAATAAAGGTAAGTAAAAGAGAAAAAAAGATCATAACACAATACGTTACAGCCTCTGCTGTCCACGGCTGACTCTGTTAGCCTTCCTGATAGAGTTTACTGATTTTTTCTTTTAAAGATATGCAACAAGCACCCTTGTGGATTTAGTCACTATCATACCTGTCCAAGAGCAGCAATACTGAGGTATTCTCTCCCTCTACTTTTTATGTTCCTACCCAGTTTTATTCAAACGCATAGTCAACAATACAAGCTGGTTTTTAGAAGGGCTTGAGCATGAACAACAACACAAAAGTGGCAACAGTCTTTCATGAATTGATAAGCATTTGTAAGGACACAGCAGCTCTTTATTTTCTGCTAATGCTGCCTATACGCCGTGCTCTCCTTTCCTGTCATTTAATGCTGGTTAGTTTTTGTGCTTCCATTGAAAGACAGAAAACAAAGAAATCACCTTTGCATAATTATAACACTGGAGCTCTCTTTAATACAATACTCGCACTAGAGCGAATGTAGCTTTGGCATTTGTGGGAGGTCAGGTGGACAGACACTTCATAGAAAACATTTCCACTTTCATTTATCGCATCAATGTTCAGTCAAACAACGACGGAGGTGATTAGGCTTTCTAACGTGTACAGTCTTCTTTCTTTCTACCCTTCTAACAGCCCACTCGTGCACACAGAACAGCCATGTTTTATATCAGCGAAGGCCATGCAAGGCAGCCCACACAGAGGGTCAGCTCACTCACCCTTAAAATCAGTGCAGAGCGAGCTATAATCACAGAGAGGGGGGAAAGAGCCAAAGAGAGATATAAAAATCTATATACAAAGAGGTATTTTTCTTTGGACTTTTGGTGATTCATCTGTCTTGCTTAAGACAGAAGTGGTTTCAGGGTATTGGCAGCATTATTCTGAAAGTACACTGAAGGGTAAAAAAATCTACCTGAAATTAAATAATTAAACAAATTAAACTTGTTTGATTATTTCTGTTTGTACTGTGAAATTAAAAAATATCCTTTTCTTAAGCATATTAAGAGAGTTTGCTTCATTAGAATTGACAAAAATAAAATTGTATTTTAGAAAATGCAGTGGAAAAATACACATCGGCATATTTCGTCAGCTGTCAGGAAATGAAGACTGCATCATGCTTTCAAGGGACTCAATTATAGTCAAAAACGAGCTGGTAAACAAAGATTTTTTTTTTTTTTCTTGCATTACAATGCCAACACACAAGCATATCATTACAACACCGGTTACAAGCAATTAAATAACAAGATAAACATGGAATTCAACAGGAAAGCCACCTAAATATGTCATCATTTCAACAAATGATTCCCAAAGCTCTACTTCTTTGTCCTTTGTTTAAGTGCTTGCATGTTTCTATTCACTTAAAGCTCTGTCTCACAATTGTTGCTTTTCTTCTACTCTTTTTGGTCTTTGTCTGGCATTAATGGCGTGTTTCTGACAAAAAAGCAGAGCTCTTATATTAAGAGGAACACCAACTTGAAGCTAGAAATCCCCCTGTGTATGTGATGAAGAAAATTGACAAGTAACAAAAACACGGGACTTTTTCTTTGCCTCCGCATCCTGTGAAATGTAAAAGTTATTCATTAGTAGTTACTGCTCTGGACAGCGTACGGTCAGACACTGCGGTGCACTTTGTGACACTGAGACATGGCTAAATTACACCACTCAGTGACCATCTTTCTCCAAAGCCATTTTATTGCATGGCCCTCTGCTATTCTGTACTTAAATTGAGCTGAAAGTTTGTTTCTCACAGCACTGGCACATCACAAGACATTTAAAGACTATTTTTAGGAGCACAAACAATCCAGCCTCCCGTCTTAGCCGTACAATTTACCAGTTGAGCACACCAGGCTGCTCCTTTTTTTATTTTATGAAATTCCAGTTTGTTTCACCCCATTTCCTTTTACATTCCATGTTTTAATGATCTCTACTTCCAATCATGCTGTTCAATAATGTTGCTCTTTGTTTCATTGAGAGTCCCACTACGCTATTTCAACAGCTTTCTAATTAGCACTTCTGTACGTGTTTCAAAACAGCCACTGGGCTCAGTACAGAGACACAGACAGGCAAACCTACAGACCGGATTGGCAGTACGGCTGAATAAATTTGTATTATTCTGTCTAATGGAGGATTCACAATTTCAATATTTTTTGTCTTGCACTTCATCAAGATTGCAAGACAAAATAGAATTCCTTATTAAACTGCCCGCCTTTGGGCTATTCAGTGTGT